CTCTCCTCTCTCTCTCTCTTTCCTCTCTCTCTCTCTCTCTCTCTCTCTCTCTCTCTCTCTCTCTCTCTCTCTCTCTCTCTCTCTCTCTCTCTTCTCTCTCTGTGTTGTTTGTTTTATCTTGCCTTATTTGTTCGTTTTTCCTCCGCGACCCCCCCCCCCCTCCAAATCACTTCCAGTTCCCAGCCAGATTCCGCAAATCGACAGACCCGATTTCCCGAGCGCCTTTTACACGGCCGCCCTTGTGCACGGCCATGTCCGCCTCGCGTTTAATGAATATCTGAAGGGAAAAACCACCTCCCTCGTTAACCGGCCGGATGTCGAAATGGTATTTTGGACTTCTGTTTTAATTCGTATCGGATGTATTTTCATCAAACCGTTCCGTAAAATAATAATGATAAAAAGGGGAAAAAGAATGTTTGGTCTGATTTGAAAAAAAGGGAATTTTAATATTTGTTGGTCATTGCCGCTGGCTCTGCTCGTGTCTATGATGGTTATATTTTTTTTAATTACATTTTTTTAGGATGAATATTTTGTGTGCTTTTGGAGAGAGAGAGATGGATATACAGATAGATAGTTAGATAGATAGCAGACTTTTTTTTTGAAGATGAATAGTTTGTCTGTGCTTTTTAGACAGATATATATAGATAGATAGTTAGACAGATAGATAGTTATAGATATATAGATAGATAGTTATAGATATATAGATAGATAGTTAGATAGATAGATAGATAGTTAGATAGATAGATAGTTATAGATATATAGATAGGTAGATAGATAGATAGACAGCAGATAGACAAACACAACAAACAGAGAGACAAACAGTTTTTTGAAGGAGGAAAGCATGAAACATTAATACATTTCGTTCTAAATTCTCTCTTTTTTGTTTTGGTCGCGTCTCCCTCGGGCACAGTGACAATGCACAAACCGAAGGAGCATATGCCTCAGTCCTTTCTCTCGCTCGGATGCCCCTTATGCCCTTGTATGCCTTTGTCACTCTGTCACCCTATCCTGTGGCATGTTATTATGATCCTATCCTGTGGTATGTCATTTTCATTAAGCCATTGTCATCCTGTCCTGTGCTTTGCCATCGTCACCTTATCCTGTGGTATGATATTGTCTTCCTATCCCACTGTATGCCATTGTTATTGTGTCATTGTAATTCTATCCTATAACATGCCATTGTCACCCTATCCTATGGTTCGCCACCTAAAGCATGGGACACCAACTTCCTTTTACTGCCTTTTATTTCTTCCTCTTCTTTACACCCCCCCCCTTTCAGACTACAGATAGATTATATTATCCTCGTGTCGTGAGTCATTCGAGCAGACAGGCAGACGAAGAATACAGGGGTTTTAGCGTAAATGTTTGTGTGTATAAATATATATAATATATATATATATATATATATATATATATATATATATATATATATATATATATTATAGAGGAGAGAGAGAGAGAGAGAGAGGAGAGAGAGAGGAGAGGAGAGAGAGAGAGAGAGGGGTGAGAGAGGGAGGGAGAGGGAGAGAGAGAGACAGAGGCAAGAGAGAATAGACAGATTAAGTACCGTCTTTTCCTGATGAAAGGAATTCATTGTGCTTGCGGGAAAGGCAAAGAGGCTATAAGTTAAGGTGTTTGCATGTGGAGTGGAGGGGAAATTTAACTAGTGGCATCTCGGCTCGATGTTCTACCTTAGCCACGCCCAGACAGAAACTGGTTTGCACTTGGGCACTCACACAGAGTAACAAATATAGCTTAGCTTTATGAGAAGATCCCTATATCAGTGTAGTCAGATTTTATTCAGACAATGTAACAAACTTTAGGCCTTTAGGCAAACATAAACCACGTGAACTGAATATAAAAACTCGGTGAACTGTTGTGCTTGCGATCTGTGGAATCAATGAGTTAAATTATTGGAATTTAGAGATATGATATATCACCTGAATCAATAGACGGTAGAAAGGTGAAGCACAATACACCATCATAACATTATTACGTGGACTGTCAGCATATTTAAATAAACCGCTTTCCCACAAGTAGCAGCTGTCAAAATGGGGCGGAGCTTAAGGGACGTCACCCGGGGAATGTCATAGCTAGCCAATCAGGTCATAGAAAATGTTTCCAATTACGGCTATTTTCTTATCTTTTATTCATTGTCAATATCAGTATCAGAAGTGCAACAAAAACCGACATCTTTGTCTAAGCTTGCGAAACTATTTTCGTTATATTGAAGCTTATAAAACAAACAGGAAAAATCATTATTTCGCTGAGTGTTCCCACAGATCTCAAAGGAAATTTACACTACCTCCTTTTAGATTCCTTTTTCGGAAAGGAAGAGAAACAAATAAATTATTCTTTTTCCAGGGTTACCACCTCATCGGCCAGACCATCCGACTGTGCCAGGCCAACGGGATCTGGTCGTCAACACCACCTGAGTGCCACGAGAACCGTAGGTATCTCTCTTTTATGCGGCTCTGGCACTGAGACCGGATGTCGCGAC